AAACCCTAAAAAACCCTAAAGCCCTAAAACCCTAAACCCTATAAGCCTTTGTCAAACCCGGAAGCTCCAGGTATCGGTCGAGCGGACTGCTTTGGCTGCTTTTCCTTGTCATCGTCCACGTCTTGCTTCTGAGACTCGGCAGGTTTAGGCTTTAGGGTTTAGTTTAGGGTTTAAGGTTTTAGGTTTAGGGTTTAGGGTTCAGCGTTTAGGGTTTAGGGTTTGGGGTTTGGGGTTTAAGATTTTGGGTTTTGGGTTTAAAATTTTTATGGTTTAAAATTTAGGGTTTAGGGTTTGATTTTTTTTTATGGTTTAGGGTTTAAAGTTTAAAGTTTAGGGGCGGCAAGCCGTGAGGGCTCATAATGTGGGTAGTTCTCTAAATTAGGGTCCCTTCTAGGGTCCTTTTTATCAGGGTGCCGTACTACCTTGGGGACCTTTAAAAAGGGACTTTAATTCAGAGAACTACTCATATAGAGTTGTATAGGGGTTTCGGGTTCGGGGTTGCGTTTCAGAGGGCAGCTTCAGAAGCAACAAGAAATCCCAAAAAAGACCTTAAGCAGTAGGATCGGCAGAAACGGCACCTCTAAAACTGGCGCCGCACCGTTGCAGTTAAAGAAGTCCCCAAATCCAGATTCCCTACATCCCATCGATTGCAAGGCGTTAGGGCCAGGGTGTTGGTGTTCGCTTTTGTGTCTATGCGTTTTTGGGTCTTAGGGGTTCGGGCATTTAGGGTCTAGGGTTTCCTGAAGCTTCACTCTCGCTAGACCCTATAAACCCTAAACTTTTTTGGTTTCGGGGGTGTGCTCCTGCTTTGAACCCTAAACCCTAAACCCTAAACCCTAAGCCCTAAACCCTAAACCCTAAACCCTTTGAAGGGAGTGGGATTTGCCCGTTTGGGCGCAGCAGCATGCTGGGACCCACAAGGACTCGCGGAGTCCAGACTGATAGGTCCGGACGAAACTCGTGTATATACCGTACCTTGAGAACCCAAACCCTACTTTTTTGTAGGGCCCCTCTA